CGCGGCTGCCGGGGCGGCGGACAGAAACCAGAGCCACAGAAAGCCGAGGGGCGCGGGCCGGCTGCGACGCCCACAGGCCGGGCGTGGGCCGGGGCCATGTGGCCGAGCCCTCCCACAGCGGGATCAGGGAGGCTCCGCGCAGACGTCTGCAGAGATAAGGAGGCCCGTCTGGCCGCCAGGTCCCTCGGGCCGGGCCGGGCAGTGCCGGGAGGGGCTGGCCAGCAGCCCCGGGGTGCCCCGCTGCGGGCCTGCGCCAAAGCTGTGTGCCGCCAGGGGCTTAAGCATGAAAGAGCCGGGGCTGAGGCTGGCGCGAGGATCTCTCCACCAGGAAATCTGCTGCTTTGATGTGAAGACCGGCTGGTCTCGTGGATCTGAGACGTGTCTTTTGAAAGAGGCCGCAGGGCGCCAGGCGGCCAGATCCCAGGGCGAGGGCCCCCGGGGCGCCCCGGGGCCGGACAGCCCCACATGTTGCATTCACCCATGGAAAACCGCTTCTCCGCAAGTTTTAGGGTGCCTCAAAGCCCCCCACGGCCGGTTCAGACGGGGGCCCACGGCACGTCCACTGCCGGGAGCGGGGCGGGGCGAGGCCGGGCAGAGGGCACCTCGCGCCGGACACGGCCGAGCAGCGGGTGGGGGGCCTGTGCCTGGGGGGCTCAGGGCTCCTTGTCCTTGGGGCGCTCGACCCGGGGCCCCGTTTGGTCTCGGGCGCTTGGCTGGCGCCCGGCGGGCCCGGCCCGGGCCTCCGTGACCCAGGGGGCTGGGTGTCCTGGCCAGGGTGGTTTACGGGCCGGCCACCCCTTATCTCGCCTCCCAGACCTGCCGGGCAGCGGGGCCTGGCCCGGAGCGGTGCCGGAGGGGGTTTCCTTCCCTGGGGGCGCCCAGCCCGGTCCCAGCGGGCTTGTTGGGGACCCGCGCGTCACCGTGCCACAGGCACAGCCGGGGCAGGAAGGGCCCTGGGGCCAGGTTGTCCGGCGGCAGGAAGAGGCCGCGGGCAGCACCGGCCGGAGGAGGGGGCCCGGCTCTGCCCCCACCTCTGCCAAACGCCCGTGTGCAAAATGGCGCCGAGGAGCACGGGCCGGAGCCCCGGCCCCACCCCGCCCCACTG